GGGTAACAATCCTTGTGTGTCAAGGTATTAAGTTTGTAATAATCAATATATAATTGTAGACTATTATCTACTTTTTTGATAAACAGAATAAAAATAATGAATAATACTTAACTAGGTTCAATAAATCCTTTTGCTAAATTATCAGTTAGGTAGATCTTAACTACCTCAAACTTGTCGATAGACATTTTATAGAGAGGTGAGTAACCTAAACTAATCTCGGTTGAATTCTCAAAAATAATGGTATGATTGTAAGTATGATGAAAAAGCAAAATGTTCGATTTCTGTTTGTTGAAGATGTTGTAGAAGGAGGTATACTTATCAAGGATAAAAAGCTTTTCTGGAGTAAATATAGCCAATAGCTTTAGAGCAAATTTGTTGAAATTCCGATTAGTTTTTGCAAAAACCTTTTCGATAATAAATATCTCAACTTTTCTGTTTTGTTTCAAGAGTTTTTGATTAAGCAATGAATCTATTTCCTGAAAAATGCAGGTAAACAGTTCGTTTTTTGGGAATCTGGTATAGACAATTTCGAAAACATAAACTGAGATTTCGTGGATATCTAATGATTTCATTGTAAATGGGAATCATGAATTTAGCAAAATCGGATATTTTCTTCGAATTGTAGATATCGAAGAACTCGAGTAGGGTTCTCTGAGGTCTTTTAATATTCGGGTAAAATCAAAACCCAGGGATTTATCAAAGATTCTCCTATTTGAGGATACTTTTGTACGAGGGAGGTTGGAGATCGAGGTTGAGAAGGTGATTCTGGTCTTTTTGGTCTGTGCACTAATTAATAAGGTATCGGCTAGCCTAATAACACCAGGGCTAGGAGCGATTTGATTGATCAGGGCAACAACAAGAGATTCTTTCAAGGGGAAGGCCTTGGAGACATTTTCACTGTCGATTACTGTATCTTATCGAATAATATCTTGCTGATGTTTTTTGTTAATAATATTGCGAAGATATATAGTCTAAGGATCAATGTAGAAGTACTTGGTATAAAATGTTGTAGAAGGATAGTCTGTACATTACTGAAGTTGTTGGCGATGATAATCTAAACCAATATCATAAATATTTAACTATTAACGGTTTAGAATAATAAGATGATACCTCAAGGGAAGCACCAGGAAAGGAGTATTATACTGAATGTGTTTATCGATTATTAAAGTAAAATAAGTAATATAAGAAACGTATGAACCGACAATGCTACTATACCCTTTGATAGGTATAGGAGTCGATAGCTTTCATATGACTGGTTTTGTATAGTAATCAAGATGCTTTACCAGGTTCTGATCAATTAAAGCATAACCATTAGCTTCGGAATCTATTAGATCTTGTGTTTTGAGTGCGATACTATCCCTTACCAGAGTGATTGGAAAAGAGAGATGGTGGCCACCCATAAGAGTATACAAATCAAGATATGATATATCCTGTATCTGCCCTATAAAAGAGATGATACTTATAGAGTATCCTTTTTTGAATAAGATAGAAAATCCTCGGTCTGGTTAATTTGGTTAATTTGATCAATTTGGTCAATTTAGTCAATTTCTTGATTATTATAATTGTTATTGAACTCTTCAATATCCAACTCGGGATTTATCTCGTTATCAATTTTATTGATAACTGCAGAGGTACAAGGTGTGTATTGAAGAGTGGCTTGTCTGAAACCAGAGGAAGGAGTAAAAAGGGGTCTACTTGAAAAATATCGTAGAGTAAGGATAGGTACAGCAGAGAGCAAGCGATAAGGTATACTAAAGAATATTATAGATCTGTTGTATACTCCAGTGATACTACTACAAGGTATTGCAGCACTGAAAATGGAAAGTGATTGGATAGAACGAATGCCCTGAAGAGAGTAGTAAGGATAAAAAACATAGATTGCAGCAAATCGTTGATAAGCAATATCAAGATTGCCTAGAACTTTAGTATATTCATCAATTGTAATGGAATATACAAACTCGTGACCAGAAGTACTTGTCAAACAATATACTGTCTTATCGAATAGATTGTTATGGAGACATTCGTTATTGAGGATCTCTGTCTGAGCGACAAAATTACAAAACTTGGAATAGAAATCGAAAAACCTTTCCCTAGATAATATAACAAGAGAGTTGTATTTGATTTTGATTATTCGAATTGTAAAAGGATTTAGTATAACAGAAACTATTTGCTGAATAAGGTCATAAATATTGTATTTATTATCCAAATAGAGAGATTCCAGAGTACTATATAACTATCCCTCGGTTTGATTGTAAATCTATGTATAATAATGATTATCAGATAGAAAGTGAATATGGTAATCCTATAGAGTATATGTAACCATCTTGTCCCATACTTGTACCCGGAGATCAGAAGCTTAGCTATCTGAAAGTTTCGTGGCTAGATCAGGGACTCGGAGTTATCGAAAAGAGGAGTGTAAGGCAGAGGTAGCTCGGTAAGCTTTCTCACAACGGATATTCATTCCTGTATCTGGCGTAGGTATGAAACTGATAATACAATGAGAGTATACAGAAATGGAAGCAGGGCGATGTGGTCCTTGATTTTCGATAGAGGGGATAGGCTTATCCTTAGAGAGGGTATTATCATAGTGGGTATAATATAATGTAATAAAACCAGGAACTTGAATAGTATAACCGAAGGGAGAGCAGGAAATATAGGTCAATAGGGCTTGCTTACCAGATGCTTTATTTCTATTATAAATGGGGGTAAATGAAATATCTTTTTCTGCTAGTTTAGTCTGTACTTCCTTTAGTTTTTGTTTTATCTTATATAAGATCTGTATTAGATAGATATTGTCGGTTTGGTTCTCTACAAGTGCAAAAGATTCCGAAGTAGGGGAAGTAGGTAAAGAGGGGTAAAGCCTTGGTTGTTTCCCGGGGTTCACTATAATAATTTCTTATACCTCTTCCATTGAAAAAGAAGTATAGGGATTGTTACCAAATAGTAATCTAGGAAAGAAAGAAGGGAAACAATAAAGGGCACCAGGAACTTTTAGAAAGTCAAGAGGAGTACTGATGGTATCGTATTTGTAACCAGGTGAGTCACACTGATTTTTGCTATTGCTAGAATCAGGAGTACCACTTTGACCTTTCTTTTTTGGAGGAATTATCGTGTCATCACTTTATTGACGGAAATCTGAGGTTATCAACTGATGCGAATTCTTCACTTCTAGATAATGTCGATACAGTTGGCATTAGTTTTGAGAGGGAGATTTGGATAGATTTAACGATTATCCCTAGTCGTAGCTGTAAGTATTGACTTGTAGATAATGTGACCAAAAGAGTATAAACAGGACTCCGATTGTATACTTAGAATCTACAAGTGAAAAGCTATATAGGATGTTAAAAGGAGGACTATATATACAGGTATTGGAAGCCATAAGGGCTAGGCCAAAAAGGGTGAAAGAGTCCTAGGCGTAAGATGCCTAGGTCTAGAGCTATAGAGCTAGGGCTCTAAGCTGTAAAAGGAAGGTCCAAAAGAGCCGTCATATCATACTATGTATGTAGTATGAGCCAGTGGGCGGAAGAGAGCCGTCTGTTCCGTCACACTATTAATCCTTTTAAAAAAAAGATAAAAACAATAAAATTATAATTTCAAAGATATATTATAATCAAATCCATATTCCTATTCCTATTAATTACAGTTTCAAGTTTATTATCCCTTATAATCATAATCTAAATATATATATATACTAGTATTTATAAAAGAAATCATATAAAGATTTATTATAATATAAGATATATTAATATTATCTCAGACTGATTAAAACATCTTAAATAAAATTTCGATTAATTTCAAGTTCTCTTCAAGTTCTTTGCTAAACTTTAATTTAATTAAAAAAGATATGAATATTAAATGAATAAAGAAAGAACTGAAAATCCTATTATTCATATTTATTTTCAAGTTTATTAAAGAATTAAAAAGAGAATTAAACAAAATTATAAAAACTTTAAAAGAGTAGATTTCTTCAAGTTAGATTTCAAATTATTTACTAAAAGATTAATCTATAAAATAAAAGATATTATTGAAATACTAGGACTCGGATTATTTATTATTAATTAATATAAATCCTTATTTTTATAATAAAAAAATAATACAATATTGATTTATAATTAAATATTGAAAATGAGATATGAAAAAAGTAGTAGTAGTAGTATATATATAGCAAGTGTTAACCCCACCCCGACTCTTACTCAAGTACTATACAAACTGAGATTTCTAGTATAAAATAATATTCGTCTACTTAAGTATGATTGATTACCAACCATCCAAATCATTATATCAAAGTATAAAATACTCATAAAGCTACCCATAATTATTGTAATACGCACATATACATACATACATACACAAAACCCATTCATATCAATGATATATTCACTTTATCTTCATTCTTATTATTCTTATCCTTATCCCTATCCCTATCCGCAACCCTACTCCATCATACCACCCACCTCCAGCTCCATCTATATACAACACAACTACAACTACAAAGCCCATCCATCACCTATTACCGACCGGTATCGGTATTACCATCTGATGGCCATCCAGTATCCACCGTTCTCATCCATCCATCCACATCCCCATCCCCATCCTTTCATACACACCACTCCAAATCACTCCAAATCACTCCAAATCCACACCAAACCCAACTCCAGATACCAAAAAGAAAAAAAACGCCATTACCCAACCCAATCCAGCAAACTGTGCAATCTGTGCAATTCGTAATATGTGAATGCCTATGCCTATGCTAATCCAATCCAATCCAGGCCAAATCTCCCTCGTTTCATTCCCAGGTTCCCAACGCCGTTTCCTTTCTTAGATATCTTCCCTTCCCTTCCCTTCACCTCTTTCTTTCTTTCTTTCATTTATCCATTCATTCGTTCATGTATTTATTCAACCAATCAATCAATCAATCATCCATCTGTGATATATTACCGCCTCATCATCCCATTTTCACCCATCACCCATCACCCAATCATCCCATCCCATTTCACACCCTAATAGCCCCCCTTCAACACATCCACATCCCCATCCCCATCCCCATCTAAATCCATATCCGCAACCGAAGCCCCCAACGCCCTCGTCCCCTGCCGAATCAAATCCTTCAACTGCCTATCAAACTTCCTCATCATCTCATCCTGTTCCCTCTCCTCTTTCAATTGTTTAACCTTCCAGGCCTTCGCCTCTCTCGCCGCCGGACTTTCATTAGTTACTACGGCCGGTCCAATCTTAGGACTATTGGGTGTCCAGCGAGGAATGCGGGAGCCGCTGGGAGACGATGTGTAAGACATAGGCGAGGGGCTTGGGCGAGATGGAGTGGAGGAATTGGATCCGCTGTAGCCGTTTGCGATAGTAGGGGTAGGAGAGGCGGTATTGGGGATGCGAGAATTGTTTTGATAATTGGGTCTTCGAGCTGCACCCATATTACTAGAGGTGATTTGAGGAGAAACTAAATGTCTTCGACTAGAAGTCGTAGCTGCAGGCATACTATATCTAGCAATTCCGCTTCTCTGCTGTGATAATCTGGATCGTGGAGCTTGAGATGCTGGGATTACGAATGCATCTACTGGTACAGGAGGCATGATTGGATATTGTTGCATGGAAGGATAATCTGGTTGTGGTAGCTGAGGTGGAGGAACAACGACCCAATTCCTCGACATTTCATCTGGAGTCGACTGAGTAGTAAAACTCGTTTGTCGTCTCTTTGCCGGTCTCGGTGGTGTAGTCTCTTCCTGTGGCGCCACATAATTTCGATCCATATAATTCTCAACCATCCCACCCATGGAAAATCCACCCGGTACAGGCGTACCTGGAGATTTCTCATCTTCCCACATCTTGTCTTTCGTCTCGTCCATGAATACCGGTTCAATCGGGGTCGCAGATCCAAAAACATATCCCGTTCCACCACCAGCTTGGAATCCCCTAAATGCACCCATTTTACAAAAATCCCAAACCTTTCCTACCACACCACCCACAACATCCACCATAGGTTTAATCCATCCACCTCCCTCATTACCCTTCGGTACTCCTCTAATCCTCGCCCTACCATTTTCATCCCGATATAATTGACCCTCTCCATCCATCTCAAGAGTTTCCTTCACATCACTCAACTCGCGTCGATATTTAATATCTCCATAATCACTTTCTCTCCCCAATTCCCTATTTTGCAAATCGGCTTGTGGCGTATCCAATCCTCCGGCCAATCGATATTTCGTATTAACAAACGGCATCGGACTTCCCGGCGCGACCAAATTTGAATCCCCATCATCAAATTGATGATTTCCTCGTTCATAACCATATTCATACGGTAAAATATCCCTCATTCTCTTTCTTCCCACCATCGTACCTCCTCCTCCACTCAACATATCCGTACTCGCCGTAGATCGCGTATCCAATAGATATAGAGAAGAAGTCGCCGATGCGGATGGTGTTGATGGAGGAAGATAAATATTTGATTTTGCACCGGCCATAGGTGGAGGTGGAGATTCGAGGCCGAAAGTACCAGGCATATTTTCGGGTATTGGAAGGGAATGTAGGAAATATGACATTTTCCTCAATTATTGAAGTTATTTGATAGATAAAAAGTTTGAAAGTTGATACCAAAAGATTCGAGGTAATATGGTAATATGGTAATATGACGAATTGTTAGTACGGCAGATGATGAATGAATGATTTTTCCACGGCTTCCCAAGGCTGACTGACGGTTTGACAAATATGAGGCGTCGCAAAGATACCGTAATCGATACGATTTATCGATATTCAATTCTAATTAGTGATGCAGAATCAATATCTCGTACCGGTATCTCGTAGTGATAAGTAACAATTGAATATAAAGTGTCAAGGAATCCAATTCAATGCAACTCAAATCCTAACCACTATGGTATACGAGTAACCTAGGTAGGTAGGTATGGGGAACAAATTGTATTGTGGATGAATTTATGCCCAAGAATATGCTCAAGAATGGAGAAAATGGAGAAAAATAAAAAAAAGTTGTTTATTTGTGTGATAGGAGTAAACTTTTGATCATTCAATCACCAAAAGGTGGAGTGGTTGAAATTATTGTGGATATGAAGAGGTTGGAAGCTGCTGTTGGAGACCTTTTTTGGATGGCTAGGTGCAGTTACCGGTATCTTGGTTGCTGTGGTGAATAAAATTTTGGGAGAGACAATATCAACAAATCACGTTTTCGCGATATCGCGGTATTGTTAATCAAATGAGTTTCTTTTGGTGCGAATGACTATACCTAGGTATTCAATACACTTATCATATCACAAAATGTGAGTGAGGGGTTGATATGTAGTATAGTATGGTATGGTACGAGATGAGTATATCTTCATGGTCTTCAAGACTCCACGGGTGTCTATCGCCCATCCACTGTGTAGCATCCAAATTTATATCCCAAAGTACTGTACTGTATGTGTATGTAGGTGGTATCTGGTATCTATTGCAAAAAAGCATCATCTCCTCTCTATGTCCTCTCCTCTATATCTCCACTTCCCACTTCCCATCAATATTATCCTTTCGTCGCCTTCATATCATGCTTCACCATTCATACTCGTACTCTCATTCTCCTTTCCCCCATAATATTCATCGGCTTGCGCCACTTTCTTCTCATCTGGCTTCGTAACATCAGTGTACTTGATGTGTTTCTTTCCAGCCCAAAACTCCTCTCTCTCCTTCAAGATCTCATCAGCCCAAGCTTGTACTTCAGGAAGAACAATCTTAGTCGCAACCCATGAGAACTCTCCCAAATCCAACTGTGGCTTAGAACGTTCATATTCCACCATTTGAAGAATCAACTCGATCTTGTCCACATCATGAACAAATTTACTCTCCAGAGTAACAGAATCTTCATATTCCTGCCAGATATCCATGATTTTTTGACCAGTGAGTGCTCCATTGACTCGTCCTAGTAGGCTCTTGGTGAAATAATCCATGGTTGTTGATTCTCTGCGATTTTTCTCCGATTTGGGTACCCCATCAACAGGCGTAATATCTCCGACAAGTGCTTCTGCCATATCGTGAACCAGAGCCATCTTTGTACAATGAGGGATATTGATTTTCGAGGCAAGAGACTCGGGGGCGAACATGGTGATTAATGACATTCGGTACATATGATCAGAAATCGATTCTCCCCTGCGAAGAAAACAAATCAGCATGTGCCAGCCAGTCCATCAAATTATTTCCATAACTCACCGATCAATACCAAAACGACGCCATCCTTCACGCTTGGTGGTCTTTAACCTCTCCAACATATGAAAGAAAGGTACTGGCGACTCAGTATTCTCCTTTGGCGCAATAGGAAACTCTGCTGCGACTACTTTCTCAACCGACCATGATTCTTGTGCGGCGGCGACTTTGAGAATCCCAAACTCTATTAGCTTTGTGTAAAGATGTATCATATATGTCGTGTAGACGTGTAGACGTGTGATATGGAAATCCGAGGTTAATAACCCAGAAGTTGTGCGACTCACCAGCCTTGTCGTTTGCTACATTATTGGTAGTGGACATTTTTCTTGACCCCGCGATTAGGTTGATGTGAGTGTTTGTTTGTTGGAATTCTCCGAAGCTATGCAGACTGCAGTGTAATGTTGTGGTTGTAAAAAGAGTGTACGGATATTTCGATACCAGATATAGATGTAGGTGTTCGAGAAGGAATGAATGTAGGGAGTTTGTATTATTCGGAGGATTTGATTAGTCTTGTGGTGGTTTGTAAATGGGTTAAAGCTGGATGGCAAACAGAGGAATCCCACTAACCGGTATTCTGAATGGTGGGGTCCCGTGCCCAGCCAACCAGAGAGCGGCAATTGAATATCCAATCAAAAGATTCACGTTATTGGTGAATGTAATCATCAATATTTGCTTTGCTTCTTATACTCAGGCGGGTCTTTGAAGAGGGATACGCAAAATCAAAATAGCTATTGCTAGCTTAGTTTCTTATATAATTATATAAAAACTTTATATATTATTAATTGATCGAATTTGAACTTAATAAATTATATTATATTTTAATATAATATATTTTGAACTAATGATAATAGATTTAAATGAGAGAGATTGAAATTTTAGATCTTTTATTTTTTAATCAAAATAAATTATTTATAATATAATTTTGAACAAAAGCTATTCAATTATAATAAAATCAGCTTTAAATTTTCGATTTATATCTTTTTTTTCTTTGGAATTCCTATTGTTTTCGTGAATATTATCAAATAATATTAGAAAATATCATATTTTGAAGGGGCAAATTCGGTTATTTTGCGTATCTATCCCTCTTCAAAGACCCGCCCGAGTACTCGAGATATACAAATTCATTCACTGAGGTTAAGTCTGGCCATACAAAATACCAATTGTGTACCGGTACAGTGGTACATCTTCTACTACTAGTCTACTCTTACCATTCACTACTTAAACCACTTTCTCCGAAGATATAACATCTAGTGACTTTCAGTCTTCTATATACAAGTACATTATACATATTATACATTCATAGTTATTATACCGAGCCCCTCATATACCTCTAATCTTTGCTTTTTTTGCCCTCCTTCCTACATATATTCAAGTTGATTTACATTACTAAACTAGCTATCTCCATAAGACAGATACATAACATAACGATTGTCTACGCAGAACAAATCAGAGTCTAAAAGATAGAGATAG